GTTTCTCTTAGCAACATAAATTTTGGGCTCAATTATGGCCATAAGTCGAGGACTACCTGTAGATATTCCTGTCCCAAATCTCTGTCATATGTCTGTTAATTTTACTATGGTTCCTGGTTAAGATAGAGAAAGAGAGCAATTTCTGTATTAAATGATCAACAGTAGTGGAAACAGGATGTACACCAGGCATATTTTTTTTACCCTAAAAAAAGCTACTTTGCAGTTAGGAATTCTTAGATGTGAAAAGTGTGTGTGTGTGTGTGTGTGTGTGTGTGCATGCGCTCTTGTGCACAGAATAAGTTAGAAGAACTCAGCAGATCTGAAATTACATTAAAAAGCAATTAAAATGCAATCGTAAGCTGCTTCTGTCTCAGTTTGTACATCCTACTAATTAGTCATCCCCTCATCATAATGCATACCTTCTCCTTAGTCACATTTTTACCTCACAGCGAACAAACTTCCAATTAAACACAGAATTTTTTTCTCAGAAAGGTTTTTTTTAAAAAGTATGTATAAGTAGGCTTTATTCAGCGGCTAGTTTTAAAAAGGAGCAATTGCATTTTTGTTGTTTTAATGAATATTAATAGGTATAATCAGCTGAAGCAGCATTGACAAGTTCCGTGCCTGACTTCCTATATTAGCCCAGACCAGATTTCTGCTGACTTATACTTCCCTAAAACCAAAATCCCACATTCAGTACAACTTAATTCTAAATATTTATATATTAATGTTATCTTATCTAATGCATAGTTATATTTTTTAAATCTTTCTCATTTTTTTGCAGAACATTAGCCATGGTGGATTTCTTCCTTTATTAAGCAGTTCTTGTGTTTTTAGTCTACATTTGTCTCCAGATGTATCCTCTCAGCATATTTAATCAGATCTTTCTTACTCTAATCATCTTTGAAATAGAAAATATTGGCTAGGATGATATTAGTAGTGAAAAGATTGAATTTATCCATCCTGAAGTTTATTCATTCCTAACTCACTTACTTGCTTGATAGTAAAATAGACTCAGATTTATGTACTGACATTTTAATGACTTATGTTGTCATTAAAATGTAAACATGAAAAGTGTAAAAATAGAATGTATTTTATACTCCTTTTCAACATTGCCTCCATTGAACTTAATATTCATTTTTTTTTTGGTAATATACCCATTTGTTTACAAGTGGGTAAATATAAGTCCTTGGCATTACATTAACTAATATTAAAATAATATTTTTCAGTAAACTGAGATATTCATTTTAGCAACTGGTATGTGTTTCCCTGTCTTTCATGCTTTCAAATGCAAGGATCACATCTTGTTCAGCATACTACCTTCAAATTTTACCTGTCTACTTGGTAGAGGATTATTTTTCTAGGACCTTTTATTTGGTTAGATACCCAGAATTAAAATATGTTATCATTATGGTGAGTAGGTAAGTAATGAGCGATGAATATGTTTGAGTGCTGTGAACAGAAGTATTTCTATATTTGCATCAAGTGCACTTCTTATAAGAAAAGCAAATGTACTTTCTCACCATCAGAATATAACTGCATTTTACGTGTAGTGTCATCTGTGCAGTTTGGAGTAGTAGGTAAAGGCACCAATTTCCTACCACTACCTGCCTTAGCCACAAAGGTAGATGAGTGAATCTTCCCTATAATCAATACAAATCGAGCAAAAACAACCCTACAATCAGTTCAGTATGCTGTGATGACTCTTATCCTACTGATTTGAACCAAGAATATAAAGGCAATTTTATAATCTGATGTGATGTTCCCCGGTTTATTAAATATCTAGAAAATACTTTTTGTCTAATTAATGTACAGAACTTTTGACATGAGATGTGATGATGACTTCAGCTAAGCAGGATAATGAAGGAGTGATAAAAGCAAAGAAACGTGTCTTATCACTTTGAATCAGATCTAATCTACAATTTTCAAAAGAATTTTTCACTTCATTAAAATGTCATCACATCTTTGAGAGGACTAGTTTTTATAATATTTCGCAGACATTAATTATAGGAACTACGAACTGTGAAATAGAGGTTTTCTTGTACTGGGTTCATTTTGTTTCTAAGTTTTATAGTTTCCTGCATTACATTTGATTTTTCTTTAGAAATATAAGAGCTACTAGTTCTATTTCTAGTTCTATTTAGTAATTAAATGTGGACTCCTATCATTTTGCATATTTAAATACTCTTTGGGCACCTCGTATGAATTTTAAACAAAATACAAAATATAAAATGTAACTTTTGAAGTTGATGCAATTAAAATTAAAATAATTATTAAAGTCAATCAAAACTTTGGAAGAGATTATGTATGTGACGTTGCCTTTCTCCTGAATACTGAGAGTAAATAGTCAAGAATACCTCCCTGAAGAGACCATGGCATAATAAAAGACTAATACAGGTGAACGTTTTCTCCTGCTTACCTTTGGCAGTGAAAACATCTTGCAAAATGGCTGCTGCATTTTACATGGCATACACTTTTGAAACAGTTTTTATAGCAATTGAAAATTTCATAGCAACAGTCAAATCAAGCTGTTAGTAAATCTTGAGTAAATGTAACCTAGGATTTGGCTCAGGAAAGTTTTCAGGAGTCCACTAATGATAATACTCAAAAACCTACATCAGGGGTGTCAAACTCACATTGGTACAGCGTTGTCACATTACGTATTGCGATTTCATGGGTGTGGCCAGCGCAGACGCAGGGTTGCGAGTTTGAGAGCTCTGACCTACATTATGCAAAGGACCAAAGCCTCCAAAGACCTACCCTCATTAAACAACCAAGGAAGACATCATACTTAATGATAACGGAAGCTGCTAAGAGGAGGACCAGGTAGTTGTATCCCCCTATTTAATTTCTAATGCAGGTCACTCACAAAGGTGACCATTGAGGTTTCTGTATCATATTATGAAACATTGATTGGAATTGATCTAAATAATCAGTTTATTTAAAAAATGCGATTGGAACCTAAGAACCACCACTTTCCTGATAAATATAGCTATGAATGAACTATTTGAAAGTGGTCTACAATTCCAGAAATCTTCTGAGTCAAGGAAGATCTGCTTTAGTAAAATTCTTACAATTTCTTCCTCTCCTGATCAAGGGAGGCTTATCTTCCTTAAACACAGAGCCAGTCAGCTTGGCCAATTTAAAGCAGTCAGGCACAAACAGCTGGTGGTCATGCTTTCACCAGTTACCTGCTCCACATCCTTGAGATTAGAAATTGAATAACATCCACATGAACAGGACAAGTAGTTTATCCCTGTACGATGCCATCCCTTGACTGAAATAGTATCCATCATCAGATGAATCTGATCAATTTTGCAAAGAGCAATGTGAGCCTCCAACTGAACTGCTCCAACTGTTGAAGGAGATGCAACACAGTACAAAAACAGCATTGCTGGGGGAAGAAACCCATTTTGCTTCAAAGATGGACGCTGTTCTAATTCTTCCTGAAAATACTAACACTTCTGGGCTAAGGCTCTCCCTATGCAGTTCATTTCTCTCAGCCCCGCTAGTAAGCCAAGCTAATTTAACACTGCGGGAGGGAACAAAACACTTTGAGTCATCTCTGTGTTGCAGTTTATTATTTATTTATTTATATTTTTTTATTTATTTGATTTGTCAATCGCTTGCAAGATAATAGGTATAAATATAAACATAAGTAAGAATACAAGAAATAGGTATGAATAAATGGGGGCAATAGGACAGGGATAGACAGGCACGATGGTGCACTTATGCATGCCCCTTAAGTTTGTCCAAGACTTCATCATTCTATTCTTCCTTTTCAGCCCTGAGGTGCAGGAAAGGTTGTCTTTTAATGTAGGTACTTAGAATAAGTATTTTGTTGTTATTTTAGGGACCTCACTGACCAATCCATCTACACTGCTGCAACTAGTGTCTGGTTGGTATTGAGAGTCTCTAAACTGTTAGTTCTTGCTGTGGTTTTCTCACAAACTGTTCATTTCAGCTGATAGATCTTTTTTTATATATAAGAGTCCTACCAAATAACAAAATTAGATGAGCAGCCTGTAGAATTACTGTGTATCCTTGTAAAATGTGAAAAATAAAATTCAAAGCATTCAACCTCAATTTGCAGTAAAGAGCATCTTACAATACTTGTTTTCTCTCTTCAGTGCTGAAATTGATATAAAATAACTAGATCTTATACAAAAAGAACATTTCCATAAGTATGATTAACAAAAGAACCTGTGCAAAAGGCACCAGGTTTTTAGATGCTATAATATTGTTACTGGCTCACCAGGACTTTTTAATTTCCTCCTCCCCTTTTCTGTCTCCAATACTTCCTTCCTTATTTAAGGAATTACAGGTAGGAACTACAGGTGGCCCTCGACTTATGATCAAAATTGAGTGCAAAATTTATGTTGCTACGTGAAAAATTTGTTAAGTGAGTTTTGCCCCATTTTCTGTCTTGCCTCATTTGTTAAGTGAATTTCTTTTCATTTGTTAAGCAAATTTGTTAAGTATTTGTTAAATGAGTAACACAGTTGTTAATTGAATTTCTCATTGACTTTGCTTGTCGGAAGGTTATAAAAGGTGATCGCATGATTCCAGGACACTGCAACCATCATAAATATGAACCAGTTGTCAAACATCTGAATGTAAATCACGTGACCATGGGGATGCTACAATGGTCATAAGTGTGAAAAATGGTCATAAATCACTTTTTTCACTCAATGAACTGTTGTAAATCAAGGACAATCTGTATCTGTCTTCTTCCAGCGCTCTGAAGCACCTTTGACACTTACATTCTGAAATGCTGCACCCCTTATAAATGTTGTCAATATTATTAGCTTTTCAGAAACCATTGTTGCTATATCGGATATTTTTAACAGCATTCTTTAGCCCACTGTCATCCCAAATTGTTCTCTGCAGCACAAACATTCTACAACATAAAATGAGAACCCCTGGCTCCATCCATTGGGCTTGTTTTGCCTACTTTGTCTTCTTCCAGGTGTCTGATTATCTTCTTTTTTTGTTCTTAGTTGGATGCTGACAAAGATGAGGAAGAAGTGTTCCGTAACATAAGCTTGGCTGTTGACAATAAGCTGTTTCCCACTCAAGAACCAGGGCCAAGTGAGTATTAAATCTTAAATATGATAGTGAAAATATACATGTAGTCCTTGTTTAGTGACTGCCTTGTCTAGCAACTATTCACAGTTATGATGGTGATGAAAAAGTAACTACAACCAATGCTTGCATTTACAACCTTTGCAGATCTGTAAACAAAGGAAAGCTGAAGTAAGATCATAAGCAACCACTTTGCTTAACCACTGAGTTGCCAGCCCCAGTTGTGGCTGCTAAACGAGGACTGTCTGTAATATAGGCTTGGAGCATGTATTGTTTTGTACTTATTTCATATACAGAACATCTATATGTGGTGTTTCAGGATATTTCACATGGTTTAAAATGTTTAAATGAGAGTTAATGAACTGTATGAAGAGAGCAATTTATAAAGTATGTAGTGATAATGTGTAATAATGTTTATTTATTTACTGAGAAAATTTATATCACCATCCAACTCACCGATGGTGATTTCATCTAGCTTAAAGAAATACGCCCCCCAATACAAAATCCAATAAACCCACACACCAGAGGTGGTATTCAGCAGATTCTGATCAGTTCTGGAGAACTAGTAGCAGAAATTTTGAGTACTTCGGAGAACCGGCAAATACCACCTCTGACTGGAGATTTTTACAGTATCCTTCCCCTGCCACGCCCACCAAGCCACGCCCACAGAATTGGTAGTAAAAAAATTTGAATCCCACCACTGCCACACACCGTTAGTGACAGTGATCAAACAAACAACTTGATGGGATCAGTGTCACCCTGGGGTTTGCCAGGCTCTCTGGCAAAACCATTTCTTCAGGGCCTTTTAAAAGAGTATCAGAATGGGAGCCAGTCGTATCTTCATGAGGATGATGTTCCACAGGAGGAGCCATCATGGAGAAGACTCTTCTAGTTGGTCCCACTAGATGGATCTTCTTAAGAGAAGAGACATACCTTGTCTCCTTGCTCTGATGGGTCTGATAGATGTAACTAGGAAAAGATGAACCAAAGCTATGTTATGCAATAGTATTATGCAATAATTCCACATATCAGTGATCATCGCAGATACGATCCATAAGGGTGGTGATAATAGTGTAAATTGTTTCTCTGTTGAGGATGTGCAGGTAACCCTTGTTCTGTCATCATGGGGCATCCCTTCAAACTTCTTTTCTCCCTTTCGAGTAACAAATTTAATGTGTAGAATGTGGTATACATTTTCATCCATTTACTAATATTGCCTGAGTATAAATAAATAACCACAGAGAAATGCTTATTTGGGTTTAAAAAAATATTTCTGATTGCTACCTTTTTAAATGTTGTATTCTGCACCGGAATTATTTTAAGGTGTGTGTGTGTCTGTGTCTGTGTCTGTGTGTATAAAAAAAATAAGCAATGCATTGGTATATTAGGGTGAGTAAAATTTAACAACTATTTGAAAAGATGCGGAGACCAAGTTCTTCTGCTTCTAAGTAAGCTTGGAATCTTTCAGCCCCTAGTTATTCCATGAATATCTTTTGAGGGTCCCTCCATCTCTTTCCATCTAAACAGGCTGAGAGAGAAGAGGCATTAATGTTGTCTCCAAGGGACAGAAGTGACATATGGTCCCTGAAAAACCACACTTGCCCAATTCTCAGTGTTCATTTAAAAAAACAAAAAACATGACATGAGTCTCTATGAACCAAAGAGTATAATCATTTTGTCAGTCTGCTCATTTTGTAAGAATGTTTTGTTCTATTTTGTTCCTGCTTTTCAATGTTTTTAGCCAATGAATGAGCAGTTGTAGCGATGACTGACAAATTGGAGAAGAAAGGCCTTTTAGTAAGTCTTTGCTAATGGGAAGTATGATTGCTCTTGCCTTAAAAAAAAGTACAAAAACTCAGAATTTAAATATATCTCTGATTGGGCAGCCAGATGTCCATCCCAAAGCAAAAGAAATGAGCAATTACAGGAACCTGAAATATTCAAGTCTCTAATTCAAGACTTTTTTTAAAAAAAGAAGAAGAATGATTATAAGTAGTTACTCTGTCAGTACATGCCAATAAAATCCATTATGGTTGCAAATATTAGAATATGTTCTGCAAGAATATAACCACTTTAGCAACACCATTAATCCCGGGTGAATCTTTGTTTACATTAATTTAAAGCTGGGATTTATTGGGAAGATTTCCAGTGTTTAAATGAATACTCAAACGTGTGCCAACATTAAGCAATTCTCTTGCTTGCCTTATTTCCCATTCTTGATGTCATTACATAAATTAAGCCATCGTTATTGACTTATGTCATTTGCATGAGGGTGCTATTAATTGTGCAATGACTCAATTTGCTGCAAACGATGTAATTTGCATCATTTTTGAAATTACAACATTGCATATATTAAATAACTGTAAATGACATAATTTGTGATTTGGCCAACATTCAGGAACAACAAACATTCTTCCCTTAAATTGAGATTTTACTGTGTGTTTTCTAGAGATGAGAGGTTGAAAGCAAAATTAAATGATCTTATGCAATGTTTTGTTCCATTTCATTCCAGCTTCCTGGAAAAAGTAAAGTACATTATTTAGATTAATATCCTGTCTTTCTTTCCATAATAATTGTGGTTAAGCATTTCTTAAATCTCCTTTTGGCTGCCCAAGAATATTTTTTTATAATCTCATTGATAAGTTTTTTTTTTTATCCAATTCCTTGATTGATAGCAATTAGCACTTTGGAACTACAGAAATTCCCTTAGGTTTCAATCTTTTAGATCCCAGATTTATCCTCTGAAAAAGAAGAAACATGCACCATATATTACTTTTTCAAAGTTAGAGCTACTTCTCTTGATAGACTTGCCAGGCTATCCAATCATCTCCCTCTAGATATTTGGTTTTCCTTATAACAATAATAATAGCACTTACAATAATAATAGCACTTAGACTTATATATCGCTTCATAGTATTTTACAGCCCACTCTAAGTGGTTTACAGAGTCAGCATATTGCCCCCAATAATCTGAGTCCTCATGTTATCGATCTCAGAAGGATGGAAGGCTGAGTCAGCCTTGAGCTGGTTGGAATAGAACTGCTGGCAGTCAGCAGAATTAGCCGGCAATACTGCATTCTAACCTCTGTGTCACCATGGCTGTTATGAAGGTAGTCCTTGAATTATGATCTCAACTGAGTCCAGAATTATGGTTGTAAATCATGGCAGTCATTAAATGAGGCACCCATATAATCCCCTTGCTTAACAACCACAATCCCTGCTCTCTCTATTGTGATCGTTAAGTGACTGCATGGGTGATTAAATGGAGCATACATATAGCCTGCCCTGGGCCTCACAGGGCTTTTGCCTCTGCTTCCCACCCCGCTTGGTCACATGCCCTTGCCCCTCCCTATTACACCTCGGTCCCCTTACCTTTTCTGAAGATTACTTCAGAAAAGCAGCCCATTTGGGATCACATGTGCAACCAGATGTGGAAGGTGCAGGGAACAAGCACATAATGGTGCAATAAAAAGTAAAATCATGCAAAAGTTGTATTAAAAATGCCAAGTAAGTCCATTTCTTCCCATTTCCCATTGCAAAAGACAATGTACCCAGACTCCATTGCTACCTCAGCAGAATACACAACAGGTGAGAGGAGGAGCCCTTGTTCACTAAAAGAGCTTTTGCTTTGTCTATGAAAGAAGTAGTCCTTAACTTCTTCAGAGAGAGTTAGGAGTGCCTCAAACTGAGCTGATGTTATTCAGCACATTGAGTTAGATGGACAAGGATCTGTTTCAGCATAAAGACAGTGTCCTCTGTTCCCATTCTACAGCATAGGACCCTTTTCTGGATACCTTAAATCAGTGGTCCCCAACCTTTTTTGTACCAGGGACCAGTTTCAAGCAGAAACACTTTTTCAAGGACCGGCGGGGGGGGGGATTCTATTTTCCATTCCCAAAACTTTATGTTTACCCTACAACTAGCATTAAAGACACCTGACTGCAGTCTCTCTAGTTCTAGGTCTTGCCCAGCTGTGTAGCTACAAAATTTCATGCAGATGTTTCTCTTATCTCTGTTTGGTGAAAACAGGAATTGAATGAGGAGCATTTAGTCAGTGTGTTTTCCCTAGGAAGCTCCTGTAGTCCTTGTTTAGGGATCATTCAGAGCTACGATGGACCTCTAACATCCAGCCCAGGAAGAAACTGCTTCAAAGAAGCCGGGGGGGGGTGGCTTTTCCTGTCGCCGCAGCTCCTCCGAAGTGCCCGTTCACCCCCACCCCCACCCCGCCCGCCCGCGGTTCAATCCAGTGCTCCATTCTGCCTGCCTGCCTGCCTGCCTGCGTTTCTGGTTGTTTCGGAGCAGCTTCGGCTGATAAAAAGAGGCGAATAGTTATTATTCTCAGCCGAAGCTGCTCTGAAACAAACGAAGGCAGGCAGGCAGGCAGAACGGAGCACTGGATTGAACCTGGATTGATTGGCGGCGGGGTGGGGGTTGAACGGGCGCTTCGGGGGAGCTGCGCCGACAGGAAAAGCCACCCTGCCGGCTCCTTTGAAGCAGTTTCTTCCTGGGCTGGTGGAGGAGCGAGAGAGCGACTGAGAGAGGAACGAGGCGGGAGGAAACCGAAGCCGCTGAGCCGGAGAGCAGGACAGGCTTTGGTTGCTTCCTCCCTCCCCTTCTTTCATTTGTGTCCTTGATCCCTGATCCCAGCAGCATTCACCGAAGGCGAAGAAAGCCGCCATTTTTTTAAAAAAAAAATTATTTGTGGCCCGGTACAGAGTGCTCCACGGACCGGGACCGGTCCGCGGCCCAGTGGTTGGGGACCCCTGCCTTAAATGACATCATAAAGTTTGTGGAAAAGATGGTGTTGCCGAAAAACAAAATAACACATAGTTGAGAAAAATGCACATGAGATTTACAGAAGCAAACGTTGCATGCACAAATTACAATCCCATACTCTACTGTGCTCTCGCAAGTCCACCTGTAAAAGTCTCCAAAATTCCTGCGCACTGTCCATGAGTAGGAATAATGTCAGTATTTTAACCAAACATTCTCAATTATCAGCTAAAG